ACTCGGCGAAGCGTGGAAACATGTGTACTGTAATTATATAATTTATATTATACACTTTAAAAGTTGCACTATAAAGTCAATCAAAAACTTGACAGAAAAAAAAAACAGATTTTGGAAATTGTATCTTATCTATACTATCTTATGTATCGTAACTATATGTTATAGATCCGACAAAAAGAGGCGAATGTTCGCTGGTACGGTTAAAAGTATAAAATTACGCAACATTGCTATGAATAAATAAAGTAATAGTATATCTTGTGTAGATATTCAACGATTTGTATGCAACGTAAGCTATAAATTTATTCATTTCTGTCCTGTCTAGAGATGAAAATCTTGAAACTTGGTCGACATTATTGAAGTCGGAAATAATCCGGATTATTTTTATTGTTCCTCAGAGGCTGGTCAACGCGGGGCAAGTCGCGGGACATTTTTGACAGGTGTGTTGACAGGTGCATTGTGTACGCCCGCCGTACCGTTCGAGTTGACCTCACCGTCGCCGCCTAGGCGCGTTAAGCGCGGAGAAACGCGTGCAAAGCCTTGCCAGGCGATCATGTCAACTGTACCTTTATCCGCTGCGTCGAATTGATCGATTTGTACAGGATCGAGTTGATTTCCTCACGTTCCGACATATGTAAGGAAGATCCGGTGCGGCGGGATACATCGTCCAGCTTCTTCTTGTGATTGTCGAATGACGCGACGCGCGCGCCGCGCACACAAAGTTTCTTCTCGTGCGCTTATCGCGAAATTTTCGGAGAACCGAATCAGAGAGGTTTATCTCTGACCGAAATATCTCTTCTACATGTGTTTCTGTGCAAAACATTATACACTTAAAAAATAGAGGCAAAAGAAATGATCGTACATAATATCCAAGAAAGCAGTGCAAAATCAAAATTTTATTTATATTTTATTTGTATTGTTAAAGTACATTTTGAGTATATATTAAGACAGTAAGTAATATATCGTAAAATGTATAATTTTCAGAAATAAATTAATTCGATAACAATAACATTGTATTAAACAAAATTAGATTAAGATAGGCGAAATCTGCAGCAGCAGTTTACGTGATATATATTTTTTCTTTTATTTAGGACACATACTTATCTCCGCTTATCATTCGCTTTGTTTGCTTTCACGCTCAGCTTGCGTATCGTTCGCACAGAGTCTTCCACAAGTGGTGAAAGGATTGCGTAGGATTACTGCTGAATAAAAAGTTATTTTATACAATTTTACATTAACTATAGACGACGAAAAAACATTTTAACAGATTTCTCTGTGATTTTATGCAGGAAGAAGTACGAATATTATCAGACATAACAGAGGATACAAATTTGAAGATTTTAATGTGAGAAGATGTTGTACGATGAAAGCAATTTTACTAATACAAGTGGAAGTAATCCTGGCTCAAATGATCCGAAATCAGGGTAAGCGAACATATATTTCGGAATACTTTAATTTTTCTCATGTTAGCCGTCACGTAATATCGAATTTTGATGTTGGTGACAAAGAGCATATTATGATGACGACTATGAAAAAAATTAAAGTGTGATTACGTGTCGGGTAACATGAGAAAAATTAGTGTTTTGAAATAGGTACTGTTTTGATATACGTTTACAATTCTCTTTGTTGTTTTTTGGAACCATGTTTTTGGAATCATGTGTCCTACAATCTTCAGACTGTCGTACGTCGAATTGGTTTTTATATGGATGGCTGGCGTCTTCATTATCGCAGTATGCATCCGGTGCCTCTGGTACAGGTTGGTGTGGATGTTGTCCTATTGTGTACCTGTTCGCTTTCGACCCCGAAGGAGATTAGTACCGACCAGCAATCATAGAAGTCAAAGATTTGCGGAGGATGGACACTTGCCCATTATCCGAAGATTCAGCCGCTCGTCGACGGGTTCTTCATCTTCCTCTTCTTCTTCTTCTTCTTTCGCTAACTTCTTCCGAATAATGCAAGGTAATTGTGTGTATGCGTACACGTGTTGTGTGCATGGCGCCCCATACAGCACAGATTGTTGCAGAAAGCTTTCTGCAACAATCTGTGCTGTATGGGGCGTATATACGTGTGCTCGTATTCGCGCACGCCATGAGCAAAAAGGAAAGCATTTTCGCTAAAAAAAATTGTACGTATAATATACAAATGTTCTGGCTCAGATAGATTACAAAAAATACAAATAATTGTTCTTAGAAGAAATTAAATTGTGAAAAAATTTACGGTTACTTTGTTCAAATTTCTTTGAAGACTTGCAGATAAAAGAGCAGACTCTTAAATTCTATCTGAACAGTAGTGACGAGACTAAGTGTCTGAAAGGCATGAAAGAAGGATTCAATGCCAAGTTTATGTCTCTCAGAGTCGCCGAAGAATTGCTATAAATGCGATGTAATTATTGCAAAATTAGTACATGTCGCAATTATATTGACAGTCCCAATTTATGACAATCTTACTCGTTTTTCTTATAGCAAATTTGGCGCCACACCAGTGCACACTCAATGCACATTAAAGCCGTCGTACACAAATAACGTAAAATGTATATTTAATATAAACGGGTTAAATCACAAAATCCTTAATATTCTTTAATGTACTATTTGGTAAAATTGTATTGAGCATTTTATCAGTCAAAATAGTTGCATTTTATTTTAAATGTTAGAGATTAAATCAGTATACAACGGTTTAATGTGCACTGAGTGCGCACGGTGCGTCCAACCGAATTTGCTACTGATAAATCAGCTAATAAGTATCCAATATTTATTTTAAACATGTATTCAACATGTAAACAAAATCAATTTTGCATACTTTGTTTAACATATATATTATTAATTTATTATTATGATGAGGTTCCTCGGTCAGTAACTTGGACATTCGCGAGATTCTAAGGAGGTCTATTCAAAGCCCAGCACGTTTAAATATTATCAAAGAAGAGGTTCTTTTGTATGGTCATGACATCGTTTTTCGTGAACTACTTAACTTACAACCCGAAATAAACGGTACGATGATTCTGGAAGCCTGCCGACTATTGGAAATATCGTCACTAGAAAATGCGTCCAATCAGCTGGAGTATATAAAACTGATGGAATTTAGGGAAACCATGGATGTTCGTTCCGTTGATGGTGATTATATACATATATCGACAAGTATAATAATAGTACATACAATCAAAGAAATACCATTTCTTAGAAAACATAAATTTCTTACAAATATTTGAAATATGATTTCGTCTTTTAGGCGCTTTTTGAAAAATTTGTACAGATATTCTGTATCAACATTTTTTATTTTGCAGGTTTAGGCAATACGCCGTTGCATTACGCTCTCGAGAGAAATTACTACGAAGCTGCAATTCTACTTCTCAAGGAAGGTAGTTACCTCGGTCAGGTGAACGAATCCAACAACATCGTTATCGCAAATATTCCAGAATTCATATTGTCTAGCTATTTTAATGACTGTATTCAACTGAAGAAAGAATGGACGGACGAGTGTACGATCGAATTCGACTATCGTTGCTTGATGCCGCACGAAAATTTCAATGAACAGCAAGAAATTTCGCGAGCGACCTGTGAAATGGAAGTAATTTTGTATATCGCCAATAACGACACTCTAAAACATTTGTTGAGACATCCGTTAATCTCGTCCTTTCTCTACATTAAATGGTACATGATACGGAATGTTTTGTACGTAAATTTTGTTTTTTACACAATGTTTTATTTCTTCGTGAACGCCTACATACTAAGCATGACTTACGACATATCAAGTAGAAATACGACACAGCAAGTAGCTAACGATAGTTCCAATACGGTGTATGCAAGTACTTTCCTTACATTGCAAAACAATCTATCGTGGGTTTTTGTCATGGGGATGTTGCTGCCCTTCACCTATCGAGAGATCTTGCAATTTTACTCCTGTCCCAAACGCTACTTGGTAGATTTGGAAAACTGGTCACAAGTTTTGCTAATGGTACTGACTCTTGCACTGCTGTGCGGCGCAGGACGGCAAATCGGAGTCATGGTTATCCTGCTGTCCACCTGGGAGCTAATGACTCTGATAAGCCATCATCTGTTTCCGTCCACTTGTATCGAAATGTTTCGAACTGTCTTCTTCAATTTTGTTCGGTTTTTCTTCCCGTATCTGATTCTGATCTTCGCATTCACTCTAGCTTTCTACATGCTCTTGAGGAATGACGATTTCTCTAATCCCGGTTTTTCGCTTTTCAAAACCATCATTATGTTCACCGGCGAGTTTGACGCCAAAGGCATTTCTTTTTCTGCGTATCCTGTTTGGAGCCGCATTGTGTTCGTGCTGTTCATCTTTCACATAGTCATCGTGCTGTTTAATTTGCTTAATGGTTTGGCAATCAGCAACATTGCCGAGATTCTGAATAAGGCCGAGATTATGGGACTAATCTCCCGGGTACGCCTGATCGCTTGTTTCGAAAGAATGACAGTCGGGAAACCGTTCTGCTGGAATTTTAAATGGACGTGGTCGAATCCTTTTAATTTCTTTTCTAACAAGATTCTTCTCTTTCCACATTACCTCAAATGCGGTAAAATAAGCTTCAAACCTTACAATGATAATCTGATTGTTTATGATGGCGATATGCATAACGTTGATGGCTATTCCATGGATTGGTCCACTTTGAAAATGG